ACCCAGACCCTAAACCCGAACCCTAAACCCGAAATATATGACAGATAAAAATGAAAATCAGTTATTTTAATAATAAAATCAATGTTTTATTAATACAAATCAAAATTAGATTTTATAAAAAGCAAATCATTAACATTTCGTGGTTTCAGATTTGATCGGCGGTCAGTGAGGGTCTGACCGGCGGCACTAAAATTCCGTTCACTCGATAAGTTTGTCGCCGGTATTGAAAAGAGACGAATAGCTATTTGGTAGAGTCGGGGAAACCTTTCACATTCTTGTCGCCAAAATAATAAAACATTGGAATTATAAGTAAAGTTTTGAGAATAATTTAAGTAATTTTGTAATTCTTGATCACAAACAGCATATTCTTGATTATTAGGTAAATCTACGAAATCTTTTAAACATAAATCCATTTCATTATTTTGAATTACATTTAATGAATGAGTGATTGTTGTTGTTGTGATTTCATTCATTAATATTGACAATATTTTATAAGTATTTTCTATCTCTTTAGTTGTTAATAAATTTTTAAGATTTTTTAATGGCGGATATAATACGGTTGAAATATGATGCAAATCACTTATTTTAAAATACTTATCGATATTTGATTTATATATTGCTTTCAATCTTTTCATTGTTTTAGAGTCTGTTTCCGTTTCATTGCATAATAAATACATCTTTTGTTTTGTAGGCAAAACCAAATGCATCGTAGGTTTGCTATCTTTACATAAAGCGAGTCTTAACTCATAAAATGGTTTTAAAAACATTGTTAATTCATTTAAAATGTTATAATCGATTCCAACAATTTTGTCATAAATTTTGTTATTATTTAATGCCATTTGTTTAATGTGTTGAAAGTTTTTGACCACAGATTCAAGCATTATATATGTTGAGTCCCAACGAATATCAATGGATTGCTTTAATTTAGTATTCAATTCCTTTTGAATACCTGATTGCTTAGAAAATGTGACCAAATCTTTGCACAATTTAACTGTTGTGGTGATAATATTATTAACATATTTAGATTCAAAAATATTAAATGAATGTTCATGTAATAAATTCATATTATGTGCCGAACAACTGATCCATTTGTGATTGAATGCTAAAATCATTGCCGAAGCATTGTCTGTAGTGAAAAATTTTGTTTTTTCATTTAGATTGAATTCATTTAAAATATTGTTCACTTCTGTAATAGTAGTAATCGCTGTCTTGTCTTCCGTATTAATTGTTGCCAAAACTCTTGATTTGATCTCAAAATCTTTAACATATTGTATTGTTAATGTCATATAACATGTCTTCATCACACCATGAGTCCAATGATCACAAGTTAAGCCAATTGTTTCAATATTTTCCAACTGATTAATTACTTTAGTTTTAATTTTTTCATACATTAGGTTAATATGATTAGATACGGTTCGATCAGAAGGCAACACGTTATCTAATGGTATGTTAGGATTTTTAGACCCAATCTCTAGCAGTTTATTAGCCAAAAGTCTAAATCCTTGGCCATTGATTATATTAATGGGTCTCATATCTCGGGCGACAAATAACACCAAAACATCGATTAAATCAGACTTAATATTTGGATCAGTTTTCGATGGTATAAATAGATGTCTTTCAATTGTCTCAATCGGTTTAACCGGCGTTTCACTACATTTATGCCGTTTTATTGAACTGCTGCCAGTTTTTGACGTGTATTTAATAATTACGGGACAATTAATGCATTTGATGTAATCGGTCTCCAAATCATGTTTAAATACACGATTAAATGTCTTCATGTATTCAGTCTTTGACTTGATTTGCTTGAGACCAATAGACGGATCATTACTTTGTATTAAATTTATTAACTCCTGTTTTTCATCCACATCTATAGCAAATGTTTCACTTGTATTATCACCGAAATAGTGTTCAATAGTTTTTTGTTTTTTAGACATTGTTTAATTATTTTTAATTAATATTTACTATTAATTTATCACTTTATTAAAATCAACACAAAATAATAGCATTCAATTCACACAAAACAATGCTTTTTAAAACTTTTCTTACAGTTATGTGTTGTATATGAGTTCGCGCATGTCTTTTAAGTTTAGGGTTTGATTAGGGTTTAGGGTTCACATTAATTCAAACCCGAACCCAACCCGAATTTCAAAAACCAAACCCCAACCCGACCCGAACCCTAAAGGGTTCGGGTTGGGTTCGGGTTTAACTCGGGTTCGGGTTTTAGATTTCGCTCATTACTGTACTGTACAATATCGTTAATACAACCCTTAATGATAGGGCTATGGATAAAGTGGCGTAAACCCTATGCATACACCGGGTGTTCGGCACCGTATATATCAACTTACATGAACTGTATGCCGGTGTAGATACCGGAGCCATGCATATAGCGATAGTGTACTGTATCGTACACTGTATATGTTGTATATGTTGGTTAATGCCATGCATAGTATCATAAAATGCATTTTTATTAATTACTTGAGCCAAACATATGACTCCTTCCGTATTGTTATCAATAGGAAAACCAATTGAAGTCTAAATATACGGCTCAGAGATATGTATATAACTATGTTTTCACAACAACTGTATGTTTAAGTGAAATATTAAGAGATTAGGTGTTAAGAGATTTACTCTGACCTTTCGATCTCCGGTCCCATACACTACAGCTTACATACACTTACATAGCATACAGTTGTACACCAATACTATGGCGAGAGAGAGAGAGAGAGAGAGAGAGAGAGAGAGAGAGAGTCGAGGGAGTCATAAGAATATGCCAGGAGAGTGTTAGGATACCATTAGTGAACTATGGTTACGCCACTAAACATGTTTATTACAGTGTGTACAACATATACTGTACACAGAATCTGATATGCGAGAGCATTGGTTGCATTGGCCGATAGAGCGCACAATCATAAGCAGCGGAGCGCCTGAAACACACAGCACAGGGAATATCGCCGGCACTGGAGTTATAACGTTAAGCACAGGCAGAGAGAGAGAGAGCCATAGAGAGAGAGGGAGAGAGCGAGTGGTGCGGCGGTTGTCGGAGGCCTTGAAACCGTAATGACCGCAATGTCTGATCGGGGCGTTGACATTGAATCGTAGCCTATTTTCGTGTCAACCCCTCGCCTATTGGCTCACACGCCGTACACCGCATGCATACACATCACACTCGTAGTCAAGGCATACCTGTACTCCCCTATAGCTATCGCACACACACAACACACAACATAGACTCTACCCATGCATTCACAATACATTGCATACAGAATCGCATACAGTTTACTCTCTCCACTCGTACGCTATATACCAGTGCTCTCTCAATCTCTCTCTCCCTATCTATCCCTCGACTCTCGCGTTAGGTTTGAAACATAGGGAGAGCTGTTTAGTAGTGTTGCCAACATATATAATATTGTATATATTCTACGGATGGACTGTAAGACTGGGCCACTTCTCACTCTCCCTCTCCTCACAACCGGCGAGCGATAGTAGTCTGGGCTAAGACTGTATGTCTGCTACGCGTTGAGCGCCTGCACTCGCCTACCAGTCGCTCACACCGTCACTCGTCTCTGACCAGTGAACATCTCAAACTCCACGAGCTCTCAAACTTTACATAGAGTGTATATATATTGGCCCCCATCGACCAAAACACTAACCATAGTGTTATACATTGATATAAATTGGGGACTCATCGTAATTGTTGATAATTGACTGCATATATAACTATAGCAGCTATACTACTATACTGTATACACTCAGTCACTCTCCCGTCCCTCTCCCGCCACACACTCTCTCCCTCTCGCAGTCTCTCTCTGTATATAAATCTGTGTTTTAGTCAATAGTATTGACAGTCAGTCGACGACTACTAAACGCTAAACATCGCTAACACTGTGTATTGAAATTGAATATACATTTGATATATAACTGCAAAGACTCTGAAAATATAATTTTAATTTTAAATTATTGTAACGATTATTACTGACGAAGAAATATATGAAAAAATATTTTTAATTATATGTGTTTTTATTAAAAGTATATTATTATTGAATTGAAACTGAAATCCAAGTCAACCGATAATTATAACGCGAAAAGTTATAAAGTTTTTTATTATTATTTGTTTTGTTACTTATATTATGTGTTTGTTTTAATTTTAATTTTTTGCGCTGGAATTAATTAATTCATTACAAGTAATTCAACATTCATCGATCTATTTTTGCTTTTAATTAATAATAATAATAAATATTATTGAAGTTATAAACACTTTCACTGATAATAACTCCGACAGAAAAACTCACTGCGAAACTCATATCTCGACTCAAAAAGTCATACATTTATTATAATTTGAGTGAAAATAATATTTTAATACTTAAGTTATAACTCATTTCAATAGTAATCAGTAAACGGTATTGTAATCTCTCAGTCGATACGATTTGAATGCAATAATTAAAACTAGTTTTAACTGAAAATAATTATTAAAATTAATTGTGAATTAAATTATATTAAAAGTTATAAAAAAGTTATCAAAAAAGTGAAAGTTTTGGTATATTTTCTAATACCCATAGACTTAACACAACAGTAAACAAAACACATAAACAATTTGTTTGCGTTAAAAACGTGCGAAACGTATGAGAAAAGTGTGTCTAAAAAATATATTGATTTTTAAATTTAATTATAATTAATAAAATTTTTGTAAAACTCGACGAAACGCCCAAAAGTGAGTGTAAATTAATATAACATTTAAATAAAACTATTTAATTAAAAGCCGATAATAATAATAAAAAAGTTATATATTGTGCGCAAATTATAAGGCGTTATAATTAAAACACATTAAATGTTATGAAAAACAGTATTAAATAATAATTAAATCAATTGAATGACAAAAAACAGAGCAATGAATGCATTGAATCGTGTATTGAATTGACACACAATCGCCACAAACACTAACCACTGAACGCGAAGACAATCGCCAATCGCTTCCAACAGAGAGACAGACAGACACTCACACCATGGATGTGAAGCCAACGATAATCAATGGTAAAGTAGTACCGTTTGGGTCGCTGTCGGTGGACACGAACTCGAGGACCCCCTACACGGACGCCACCCAATGCAAGAAAGTGACGAATCATATCAAACGGCCGATGAATGCGTTTATGGTTTGGTCGCAGATCGAGAGGAGGAAGATCTGCGAACAGCAGCCGGATATGCATAACGCGGAGATCAGCAAACGGCTCGGGAAGCGCTGGAAGACCCTCTCCGACACCGAACGGCAGCCATTCATAGAGGAGGCCGAGCGGCTGCGCGTACTTCATATGCAACAATATCCCGACTACAAGTACCGGCCGCGCAAGAAGGTGAAGTCCGCCGCTAACGGTTCCCAATCGCCCACACCGTCGATGCCCTCTCCAGCCGTACACCAGTCGCCAAATGTCAAGTCGTTGGCCAACAATCAGCGCCACAATCAGTCGCCGAAGCAGTCCCTGTCGGCCACCGTCGCGGCCACCGGTTTGTCCGCCTCGCAAGTGGTTAAACAGCGGCTGGGATTCGGCGGCGGCGCCAACGCCTCCGTCACCTCAACCACCACCTCATCGCCGGCCCTGTCATTAGCCCTCAACTCCAACAGTCGCCTGAAGTTTAAGCTAACGATCGACAAGAAACTCAAAGAGAGTATCAACAGAAGCAAAGCGGTTCCGGTGCCGGTGTCGCAGCTGACGCCGCCGGCCAAAGTGCCCTCGAGTCCCGGCGCGTCTGACTCTCCCGGTTCGCCCGAAAGTGCCAACTTGTCCTTCTATGACGACATGTGTTTCGATAAGTCCGGCGCCGACGACGTGCTCATGACGGACGACGCGACCGGCGCTATGACACCCATCACGCCCTCCAACCAAACCACACCATTCGCCACCTCAACCGCCATAACCATTGGCGGCTCCTCTGCCACCACCTCCACGACGACGATGACTCCGTTCACACTGACCACAGCCGGTCTCACAGCCGATCTCGGTCTGGGCTCCGCACAGGCGCTCCACCATCCGTCCACTTTGGGCGCGTCCGCAATGTTGACGCCCTCCACGTCTAAGGCCTCATCGCTGGCCTCTCCCACCACCTCATCGTCGGTGAGTCTATCGGATTTGGACGACTTGAGTGATGTCCTGCAGTTCGAGTCCAATTGGGCCCAAGAGTTGGCCAGTTTTAATCTGACGCCGATATCAGTATTGGACAACATGGACACCGCGTCCAGCAGTTCCGGCTCGCACTTCGAGTTTCCCGATTACGCGCCCGAAGTGAACGACATATTGGGTGAGGACTGGGGCGACACCAGTCTCGCCAATCTTATTAACTCATAAACATTTACCACACATTTATTCAGAGCCGATATATATCTAGATTTATATATATTATGGTCCAGAAAAAAACAGAGAAAAAACATGTTATCATATAATGTCCAGTAGTTGTGTTGTTTGTTATTGTTTGTGGTGGTGGTGATGATGGGGAAGACATTTGAGACACACTCTCTGATACAGCAGTGGTTTGGGGGTATTGTTTGGCCACCGCTAACGGCCGCAACAGCCGACCCCCCAGAAGCCACACCGACTGACCCCTTAAAATCAATTGTATATTATAAGCGCATATTATTTTTTTTGTTTAATTATTATTATTATTATTTTGTTTGTTTGTTTTTGAAACCTATTTTAAATGTACAGAAATGTATTGTTTAAAATAGATTCACGGATTAAGCGCTGATTATAATTAATCGCATCCAGAAATTTAAAGGCACACCAAAAATGGATTAGAGATTTAGGATTTTTCGATGATAATTAGGTCTTTGATTATAATATATGTTTTGTGGCTTTTGGTGTGTCTTTGAGAGCAAATGGTCAGAGAATTTAACTCATGATAAAAATTATTGATTTAATTTCTCTCTCATTATAATTATAAACACAAATATATATATATAAATCGCCTGAAAATCGTATTCACAACACAAAAATTCAATCCTCTTTTTATGCGAGAATTTTTTTGGAGAAATTTTAATGATTTATAAAATAAAAATATTTTTCATTGAATTTTTCAATTCAAACACACATTGAGTTAATCGTTATCCTAAGGACAGCCGGGAATAGAGAGTTTGGATATGAAATGTGTGTTAAATAACAAGTATATAAATACGTATATATATTATAAATAAATATAAATATTTCATTATTTTTTGTTTAATTATTTCATTTGTTTAATTGAGATATTAATTACATCGAGAAAATAAAACTGAGGAGAAAATTGTTTTGATTGATTTCATCCATACATTCAATTCATTCATCCATTTTTTGTGCACAAAAAACAATACATTTTTTGTATCGATAAGAAACAAAACTGCATTCAAATTAATATTACATATAATATTAGTTACGATTATTATAATGAATGTAATGATAATATTAATAATTATATAAACGACGAGAAAAATCAATGCTTAAGATATTTATATATCACTTTCACTCAAATCTCTTTGTAAATGACAAAAATTATTATAAGGTTTTCTCTCTCCATATAATTTCAATACATGTTATGTTATGTGCAAAACAAACAACCGATTAATACCAGTAATAATAATAATACTAATAATAATGATATTTAGTTTTACACTAGATTTTTTGTTTCCTAAAAGAGACACAAAAAGGTAATAATAATAATAATAAGTTATATGTTATTATAATGTATGTAAAAAATTTAATATTAAAAAACAAAATACAATTTTTTATAACGATTACAATTGAATGAAGTGATAGTTTTTGTTTTTGAACATAAAATTTTTGTCGACTCTTTTTTTATAAATTAAAATTATTATTATTTGTTGTAAATAATTATTATTAATTTCAATCATTATTATTATAATATTATTATTATTACATTGAATAGTATATAAATAAATATATATATATTTCTGATGATACGTCCCTTTCCACTATCTCTCGCCTCTATTTTACACACAAGTGTTTAATTATTTTGTTTGTTTTTAATTATTATTATTATTAATTGATTCATAATTTTTATTAATTATTATTATTTTGTGTCGAGAATTATATAATTTTTCAAAGAAAATACGAGTTATAAACTTTCATTTTTTGAAAAAATAATTATTGATTATTATTATTAATTTCTCAGTTATTATTATTATAATATTATAATTATTATTAAATACATAAAAACGACTATTTTTTACGAACATGATTTGAAAAATAAAAATATATAAATATAAATAAAAAACTTAAATAAAAATTTAATTAATACACATAAAAGTAATTACAATTAATTGATTGAAGAATAATTGATTTTCCCAATCGATTGGCTAATGTTACCAAAAATTTGTGAAAAGTTTATAAAATTAAAATTTTTTGAAAAAATTAAATTGCAAATTAACACTATTACAATTTTAAAAATTAGATATTCCATCATGTATGTTTTATGTATGTTTATGTGTGTGTATTGGAAATGCACGGAAAAATTCATAATTTTTTATATTTGCATATAAATAGTATATATAATAAAAATATAATAAATATATAATTATTATTTCTGATCATTATTAAAAGTGTCATTAAAATTTTTGCACAACATTTATACAGACATATGTTTATATAGAAAATAACAAATTTTTGCTTACGTTTTATAATCTAATAAAATTTAAAGCAAAATAAATCTCTACCGAAAAGTATATATAAATATTTGCGACGACCAGAGAAAAAATATCATAGATTTTATTATTATTAATATTATTATTATTGAGAATATATCTATAGATTTAGTCGAACAGTTACCTCATTTTTATCATCATGAAACTTTTTTTAGACACTTTGATAAATACACTTATTATAACCGTCTCTTATCATACATTCATTTCCCAATATATTTCTCACATTTTCATTCATCGCATCATTATTTGGTCATTCAGTTTAGATATGATTTAGCTTTTGCTTGTATTTGTTTTTCTGTTCACTTTTCCTGATGTTTTCCAATCAGTTTTCCCTCCATTTCCCAGTTTCTACCCCATCGGGGAAACACACAAACCCCCCAATCCGTACCCATCCCTTCCCTCCATCCCATCCCTCTCTCCCGTCCATCAGAAAGAGACATCAATTTTGTTTTGCAATGTCTTAATGTGTTGTCTGTCTTACACCATGTCATAGACCGACCATTTCATGCCATCATTTAATTACTGTATTTGTGTTTTAAACATGTAATTCATTTTCATTTATTATTGTATTAATTATGCCATCAGTTAAGCTGTCGATCGGCGAAAATGATGAATTTTTGTGTGATGTGTGTAGTTTTCTCTCTCCATCTCATGAATTTCAACGAGATATTAATACCATGTTATGTAATAGTGTTGCTGTAATCAAACACATCTATCCGTAAAGAGTTTTTTGGGTTTTTTAGATACTTTTTTTTAGATGAGAGAGAAATATCATATGAATAGTAATAATCTGTTGAACGACAAAAAATTATTAAATGTATATTTAAGAGCCTAAACAACACTGAACTCTCAATACAAACACCAAATCTTATCGCAAATATTGTTTGTCAGTATATATTTTTTATGTTATTATTATTAGCGGAATATAATATATATGTGTATTAATATCGCATATAAAAAATGTATATATCATTACGTAATGAGCGATAAATAATAATAATTGCGATAAGAAACTGAAATAAGTGTTTAGTAAAGCATTTTTCGCATTTCCACAAACAATTTGATTCACAATTCCTGTGAAAAGTAAAAATTTATTTTTTGGACACAATTTCTTTCTGTAATTAATTTTTTGTTTTGTAATTTTAACGATAAATTACAAGAAATTATTGACAATTTTTCTCCTCTATTATTGAGAATAGTTAATTAATAAGTAATAATAATTATTAAATTACATGTATGGTTATAATTGAGTGAATGAAATCAACTTGATAACAAAACCTCTACACCAAGTACTAAATACATTACGATTTATTAATAATAATAGTTATTTCTTAAAAAATACAACACATTTTTATAATACTTATAAAACAATACACAATTGATTTATACTATACTTGACAACAATTGAGATTAAATTTTTACAATTAATACTATGAGAGAGTTGTTTGACTTTTTAAAAATACAAATGTAAAAAACATTTTAATTTAAAAAAAACTTATTGGCATTTATTATATACATGTTATGTAATACCCGAGTATGCAATCAATTAGACGATGTGTAATGAAAGTTATATAATATTATTGTATAATACTTGAAAAAACAGACACATAAATGACATCACTTTAACAATAATATTGATAATAATAATGATAATTGATTTTTCAAAAATCTATATATATTTACAAATAAATATATATAATATTGTCTTCAATTGAGCTGAGCTTTTGTCACATATATTTCTTCCCCTTTCAGAGTATAGAAAGTTAATAAAAAGTTTTGAAAACTTTGGTAAATAATGAAAAATTTTAATTATTATTATTATTACGATTTTAATTAATAATTGTATGAAATATAAAATACATTACATTTGATATATTTTGAAAATCGAGAGCTCAATTGATTGTGAAATCTATTTAATGTTATTATAAATTGAAAATTAAATAAAAATTTGAATATAAAAAATTTATAAACGACTCGTCTGTCAGCTTTTTTATTCATTTTATAAACCATTAAATTTAAATTAAAAGTATTATTACTATTTGAGAGAAAAAACACACAAATAATTATTGATTTAATTATTAATGTATAAAAAAGTCTATAATTTGTATAAAATTAATAATAATAATTTTTCCACTTATTTGCTATCATCTCTACCAATGATTTTATTATTAATTATTATTTTTTCTCGGTTATTATGTAATCGTCCGATCGGTTATAACATTGATTATTATTATTATATAATTAATTATTATTGTAATTGTTTTTATGTTTTGATTATTTATGTTTAACAATAAGAAAAATTTATTTTGAAACCAATGAAAAAAATCGTTTACCATTTATTTTATTATTTTTCATTAACGATAATAATTATTGTGATTATAAGTGATTAATATTGCATTAATATTATCGTTATTTGCGTTAATTATAATTTTATTTGCAAATTAAAAAAGCATTCAATTCAACAAACGGTTTGTATTGAAGACAAAAATTGTTATTTTTGGCGAAAGACCTAATCGTTTAAAAGCGATGTTTATTTGGATTTTGTTGGAGAATAAAAAATAATAAAAATTCAAATCTATTTTACGATATTTATTTCTGTTGGAGAATCGGTTTTAACGTTTGAATTCAGTTATGTATCCAATCGTTGAGTGACTT